AAACATCAGCTTTCCTGCTCCTCTGATGCTGCCTGGCCTGCTGTGTTCATCCAGCTCTATACCTTGTTATCTCAGATTCTCCAGCATCAGAGGTTCCTACCATCTCTAAGTGTCCAGGTCCTGCTACATGCTGGCCCATGTTCCTTCAGTATAAACAATTGATGCTGAACATTGTGAAATAATCAGTGAAGAGCCTGTCTCTGAATGTGAGGAAGATTATTGATGAAGCAGTTGAAGATGATTGGATCTGGACACGATTTTAATCATTTAGTTTTGGTTCCTACTGTTCACAACTTAGTGTACGCAGTCATATTAGAATCAGTCATTAATGTTTTAATTTATTTGCAGCCAAGGGTAGCAGCTTGTCCTTTTAGCATCAACTAGTTGAGCAATAGTCCATAAGGCCATAACGGGCACATCATTACCACAGACTTATATGTTCATGTCCATGGGTAGAAAAACAATTGGAAAAGTTGAACAAATACATGCACTGCTGAAATATTCTTGCAACTTACTTTGCGATATCCGGAATCTTTAGCTTCTGGGACAGTCCGTATTTTGAGTTCAATAAATAGCTGGGAAACCGCATGTCTCTAGAGTTCTAACAGGGGAGAGTGATAGATCAAATTTTAGACTTAATTACAGTTCTGGCTGTCAACACAGCTCACACTTGACAATGTAACATGGAAGGCTATAACAGAATTGTTACAGTGCAGATGGAGGCCATTTGGGCCATCCTGCCTGCACTGGTTCTATTACCTAAACTCCTGCCTTTCCCCACACTCCTGCATACAATTATTATCTAAATAAGCATCCAATGCACTCTTGAATCCTTCAATTGAACCTTCTTTCACCACAATTTCTCAGCACTCTATTTCATGCCCTAATAATTCACTGCATGAAACCTTTTTCTACCACGTGTCAACGTGTTTGTTTGGTTTGTACACTTTAAGACTATGCCTTCTTGTTTTTGTTTCTTTTGTGAGTGGAAACAGTTTCACCCTACTTACTCTGTGCAGCTGACTTATGATGTTGATATTACTTGTTTGACCTTAGAGCCTGCTGTAATTTCAAAGGCTTCATTTTCTCACCTAAGGACATTCTACAGTGTTCACAGCTGGAGACACTGCTCCCCATTCTGCCAAAGTTCTCATGCACGAATCAGGAGAAACACCCCAGACTTTTCCTGAGAAGATCAAAGAGGTGTGTTGTCATTCAGATCTGGCGAAAACAATTAGCTGGGAGGCCGCTAAGTGTCAGGGAGAGGATGGAATGGGTGTAATGTTAGCGAGTTGCCTGGATAGCTGGCTTGTGATGCCTAACACAATATGGTCAGTTCCACCCTGGCTGAGGCATATCAAAGGCTTGCTCTTCTCAGCCTTTCCCCTGGTGTGAGTTGGTGACCCTTTGGTTAATCCACCACTGCTCTCTAACGGGACAACAGTCTGATGGAACTGTTGCAACTCTACCTTTTACAGGACTAATCAAGGGCTACTGCCTAAAAACACCAGCTTTTACATTCATGTATTCATTGGTGGACATCATGTTCAATCACAAAACCCTAGAATGCAAACCTATGTTCGTTATGGCAATCATGAAACTTATCAGTTTTTGTGAAAGCTCAGCTTAATGGTGGCCATGAAACTATTTTTGATACTAGTACAAAAACAAAATCCAGTTCACTAGGGAAGGAAATTTGATCTCCTTGCCCAGTCTGGTCTACATGTGACTCCAGAGTAACTGCCCTCTGAAATGGCATGGCACATCACTCAGTTCAAGAGAGACCAGGGGTGGACAATAAATTTTGGGTTTGCCAGTGGTGCCCAGATCCCATGAAGAAATGCTTGTAAAAAGTAACCTGTCACATTTACACTTCTTTCTGTCCATTAATGCATCGGTAAATCATGTGATATGCACTTCCACATGTTCTTCAGAGGTATAATTTTAATCCAAGCCCATGCTAAGACCCTCTGAAAAGCATCCAACCCAGTCCCTGTAACCCTGCATTTCCCATGGCTAGCATGCACATCATTGGACTGTGGGAGGTAACCGGAGTACCCGAGGGAAACCCACACAGACATGGGGGGAACGTGCAAATATCCACGCAGGCAGATGCCCGAGGGTGGAATCAAACCCAGGATGCTGGTGCTGTGAGGTAGCAGTGCTAACCACTGTACTAGCTTAAATGCTTAGCATGATGCAAATACTGAACATCATTGGTTATAAATGAATGAATCCAGCAAAGCTAATCCAAATCACTAATCAGTAATTGAAAATTGCCATAATTTACTTCATCTATTCTGCTGGAGTCATGAAATATATTTAAGAAGCATGAGACTGATGCCATATAGTATCCAAATATACTTACGTATGTAGTTATTTTAATAGTCTCATCCACTGGTCGCATATAATGATCGAGAGTAAAGATCCGGAACTGAACTGTAATTTAAAGGGGAACAAATGGGCCAGTCAACATGTTTATCTTTAATATTAAGGAAAGTGCATTTGAATGGATCATTAAATTATGTAAAACAAAATGGATGAGTTTCAGTATTTCATTGAATCTAGAATCACAGATGTGTTATAGCTCAGAAAGAGGCTTTGCGGCCATCCTAACTACACTGGCTTGTTAAATGAGCCTCATTATCTAGTGCCAATCTCCTGTTTCTTCCCCATACCCTTGCACATATTGTTACCTAAATAATTATCCAATGCCCTCTAGAATGCCTCACACCCTCTTGAAAGTCCTAATTATTCAATGGTATGTGAAAGGGCATGTATGTATGTATGTATTTGGGCTCAGAACTGTCATTCTATAGTTTGAACATGAAATCTATCTTGTTAATGTTAGTAGGAAGAGGATAAAATCGATACATCTGCACCATGAATTAGAGCAATCATTTCCATTTCATTAATATTACCACCACTGCCGTCATATAACCTGATCTTCAGGATCTCTGCCCTCCAACAAGTCTTTACAATTCTGCATTTTATTATCTCCCTATTGTTGGCTGTGTCTCCATTGCTGTTTAAGCAGGAAGGTCTAGAAGTTCTACTTTTACCAATCTCTTTTTACTTCTCTTCGCTCCTAATGACGCTGTTTGAAGCCTGCGATATTAATCATGTTTTTGTTTATTTGATGTGATACCCACAGCACCTTTCTCAGTGTTAATTTCCTCTGCAATATCTGGAGACATTTCAGTACCTTACAGGTCTTATTGAAATAAGTGCAGTCAAAGCTTTGTGATGGAAATAACGGAAACCCACTTGAGGCATTTTGTTTTTTTGGAAATCATGTAAAGTGAGAGATGTAGGCCTTTCTAAGTTCATATATTTCTTCTGAACTTTGTTCCAAATAGATTTCACTAGTGTAGTCATAGAGTCATACAGCACAGAAACAGACCCTTCGGCCCAACTCATCCATTCCAACCATAATCCCAAACTAAACTAGTCCCATTTGCCTAAATTTTGTCCTTATTCATCTAAACCTTTCCTATTCATGTACCTGTCCAAATGTTTTTAAAATGTTGTAACTGTACCGGCATTTACCACTTCCTCTGCTAGTTCATTCCACATACGAACCAACCTCTGTGTGAAAAAGTTGCCCGACCAGGTCCCTTTTAAGTCTTTCTCCTCTCACCTTAAAATTATGCCATCTCATTTTGAAATCCTCAACCCTAGGGAAAGGATCTTTTCTATTCACCTTATCTATGATCTTCATTATCCCATACAAGGTCACCCCTCAACCTCTTCCACTCCAGGGAAAGAAGTCCCAGCATATCCAGCCTCTCCCTATAACTCAAACTCTCTAGTCCTTGCAACATCGTCGTAAAATTTATTGCACCCTTTTTCAATAACATCCTTCCTGCAGCAGCTGGCTGGCAGAGAAAGGTTGGCAGGTTGAGGTGTGGGGGTTGTGAGGGGGAGCATTCGGCCACTGAGAAGGAGCTGGAGTGATATTTAAAATGGACTTAGTAAGTAGAATGCTGAGATGTGACAAATAATCCATGGAAAGAGGGCAAGAGCGAGGGTATCCAAAGAAAATGCTAGAAATTGAAAAAGCATGCGGAAACAGAGAAACAGGGGATTATATCATGCCCACATGCTGCTGCAGCAGCAGACATATGCCTGCTTTCAATCTTTCACTCATCAGAGCAGAATCACACGAATACAAAGTCTCAATGGAAACAGCCATTTCTACTGCGTGTAAAGATGGTGCTGATTGGTTGACAAGTGGACTGTGTTGGCAAGTGGAAATGTTGCTATGGACATGCACCAAGCAACAGTTGAAACTCCAACATATGTTTGCAGGACTGGTTGCGGTTTCGAAAGCAATTATCCTGACAGACACAGTGGAAACGAATGGTTGAACAAGCAGTTTTTGAAAGGCGAATTGCAGACAATTTGGATCTGATGGGGTGTAACAATGCAGCTTTTGCTGACAGCAAGAAATCGATTGATCTATGGACAAGTGGTCAGTTATCTATAACATTGGCCAGTTTGCCTGCCAATAATTGTGATTGGTTCTAAGTAATTGAACAGCTTGGAATTGGGAACAAGTTACCGAGAGAGACAGACAGAGAGAGAGAGAAAGAAATGTTCAGTTCTTCCTCAGCTCAGGAGCACTGTCTCTTCTTGCAGTCAAAATTCAGTGTAAATATGATGAATGCTTACATTAGCTTTCCTGGAACAGTTGGTATGAGCTGGGATTTTTACCTGATATATCACAAACTTTTTATGAGTGAACTGGCCACCTTCAGTCGCTTAGCAACTAGTGGATGCATCAGAAAAGACAATCGAAGCAATCTCCTGGCTAACAGAAAGGTTGTTAGGATCATCTCAATGACAATACCTGGCAATAAAGATTATTGACCTGTGTTTCAATATTTTCTGGTTTGCTCTGCCATAACTGAATTTGTTGTGTGTGTGTGTGTGTGTGTGTGTGTGAGCATGTGTCAAGTTGAGGACTAATTGCTTGTAGTAGGAATGATTCTTGTTCAGAAAACTGATCTATTTTTCTATCAAATTGTGTCTGAATGTAGGAAAATTGAGCAACTTTGCTTACTTTTAAAAATGTTTTGTGATGATTCCACAAATAGCTTGATTTTCAACATACTACTCCATTACATTGTAACAATTCATAACAAGGTAACAACTTTACAGCATCCTGGCTATATACGTACTGCAATAAATACTTGGTAAAGTCAAGCAATATTCTTGCTCTGATACTTATTCACCATATGAGGTTTTTATTATGCATTCAGAAAGTATGTCTGCAAATTGAAGACTTGTGATTAAATTCGGGCAAGCTTTCATGAAAGTGCTCACTTTAAAAAGGGCCACAAGGTATTGAATTTGCTGATTTTTAGAAACATTCATTTTTCAATCTCTGAGCAACTTTTCTCTGCCTGAACATTTGACCGTACAGATTTGGACCAGAGTTAGGCTATTCCGCCCTTTGAAACTCTACCACCATTCAATATATCATGTCAAATCTGATTGCAACCTCAACTCCATATCCTGCTCTCCCTTTATAATCTTCCACCCCTGTACGTATCAATAATCTATCTGCCATTGTCTAATAAAAGCTCTGCTCTCTCTGACTTGTAAGGAAGACATTTCCAAAGATTCTTGATATTCCACCAGGAGAACAAAATCTCCTTACCTCTGATTTATTTGGGCATCTCCTCATTTTTAAACAATAGCCCTTAGTTCTAGATTTTCCTCATCAACCCTGTCACAATTTCTCAGAACCTTATATTTTACATCTTATCAAACTAAGCCAAGTTATTTGAGTCTTTTGAAACAGTAATATGTCCTGTGGATAAAGAGGAGCCTGTAAGGGCGCTATATTTGGATTTCTTAATGGATCTTGACAGAGTGCCGCATAAAAGATTAATGTGCAAAGTCAGAGCTCATGGTGTAGGATGTAACATCTCAGCATGGATAGAAGATTGGCTGGGATGGAAGAAAACAGAGCAAATTGCTGAATATGTCCTTTTCTAATTGGCGGGATATGACAAATGGAGTCTGTTCCGGACTTTTAGCTCCTTATAATCATTGAGATGGATAAGGGGAGTGAAGTCATGATAACCTAATTTTCAAATGATACAAAGATACACTGAGATGTGTGTTGTGAAGAACACTTAGGAGACGGCAAATGCATATAGATAGATTGAGTGGGTGGGCAAAAATCTGTAGGTGGAGTATAACTTGGGAAATATTATGGCACAGAGTATTGTCTAAATAGTGAAGGCCTGTAGAATTCAGAGATGCAGAAAGAACAATGTATTTTCATGCATGTGTCACAAATGTTAGTATTATGATAAATGTATATATATATATAATTATCACATGTATTATTTTAAAGTACAGTGAATTAGTTTTTGTATTCAGTTCTGTGCGAGTACATTTTCTTAAAAAAAGAGAGGTTAAAAAAAGAAGGTTATTTGGAATAGTGAACCAAATACATCATGTACAAGAAGCATGTCACTTACTTTGAGTATATAACTGGCCATCTGTAGATTGAATTAATGAAGTGCTTACTATACTGAGAGTTATTTCACACAGATAAACAATAGATTAGAGATCACTGCTAGGTTTAGTTCAGAAAGTAAAAAAGTTTCCTGTTTGTAGAAGAATAGTTTTCCCTATAAGGGCAGATTATAGTGATCTTCAAAGGTAAGAAAGCAGGCTGTAGAATCCTCAGGTTGAATCCCCAGCTTTAGGAGCATTCTATCAGAACTGAAAAAAAAATCTGCACTCTCAAAACTGGAAAGAGGTTGCTAGGCCATCAAAACGGGAAAGATTCCGTTCTGTAAGAAAATAATGAGTTCAGATAGGAATGACACTTCACTGGCATTGAGAATCTGCAAAGGATGTTGCTGAGAAAGGATTGATTCTTTGTTTCTGCTGTTTACATTAAGATCATTCTTTTTTGTATTTTGGTTGAAAGAGCATTGACAATCTTTTTCAATACGTTCAGCTACTGAGCACCAGAATAACCAAGCTGCAAAATTAAATCTTATTATACCAAAACTGGGATCACAGGAGATTACAGGTACAACAAATTATTCAGAATGTTAATGGAATGTCATCCTTTATTGTAAGAGGAATTGAATATTAAAGTAAAAAAGTTATCCTCCAGTTATACAGAGCATGAGTGAGCATGAGTGAGACTACATTGTAAATACTATGCACCATTTTGGCCTCTCTATTAAAGAAAGGATGAAAATACATTGGGAGAAGTTCAGAAGAGGTTCATGAGATTGTTAGGTTGGGGGCCGCTTTGTGGAACACCTACCCACTACCAACTGCACCTCCCAGTCGCGAACCATTTTAACTCCCCCTCTCACTCCTTAGACGACATGTCCATCCTGGGCCTCCTGCAGTGCCACAACAATGCCACCCGAAGGTTGCAGGAACAGCACCTCATATTTCGCTTGGGAACACTGCAGCCCAATGGTATCAATGTGGACATCACAAGCTTCGAAATCTCCCCTCCCACTACCGCATCCCAAAACCAGCCCAGCTCGTCCCCGCCTCCCTAACCTGTCCTTCCTTCCACCTATCCCCTCTTCCCACCTCAAGCCCCACGCCCATCTCTTACCTACCAGCCTCATCCCGCCCCCTTGACCTGTCCGTCCTCCCTGGACTGACCTATCCCCTCCCTAACTCCCCATCTACACTCGCCTTTACTGTCTCCTCTCCACCTATCTTCTCCTTTATCCATCTTCTATCCACCTCCCCCTCTCTCCCTATTTATTTCAGAATCCCCTTCTCCTCCGCTGTTTCTGAAGAAGGGTCTAGGCACGAAACGTCAGCCTTCCTGCTCCTCTGATGCTGCTTGGCCTGCTGTGTTCATCCAGCTCTACACCTTGTTATCTCATGAGATTACTACTTGCATTGAGCAAGTCGCATGTGAGGACAGATTGGGCTGACTGGCTTGTTTCCACAGGAGTTTGGAAAAATGTTGACTTGATTGAAGTTTAAGACAATGTTGATTTGTAAAGGATATTTTCTCTTGTAGGTGAATCAGGAATTAGGGGGTGCCATTTAAAAATTATGTGTCATCATTTAAGTGCACATGTCAGGAGAATTTTTTGAACCCCTCTCAGAGGATTCTGCACCATTGCAACCCTCTGCCTCAGAAAGTGGTCACGGTGCAGTATTTGAATATTGTTAAGGCAAAGGTAGGTACATTCCTTTTAGGCAAGGGCATCACAGAATATTGGGGGAAAATAGAAATGTGAAATTCAACATGCAAACACATTAGCCAAAATGTATGTACGTCCCCAATCTGTGTCACCCTGCAGCTATATCTCAGAAATGACCATCAGACCAGAAGCAAGAAAAATTGCCATTAATGGATGAGTGAAGGGAAGTGCTCAGATTTATTTCAGAATCTATTCGGTGTGAATCCATTTAGTTGACAGTGAAAGCAGCTCTTGGCTCTTATGTCGGATATTATTAGGTGAAAATAAATATTGAAATGTAGACAATGTTGTAGTGCTCACCATTTTCATTGGGCGTGTATATTGGTTTGTCCGTCTGAATGAATATATAGCCCTTTTTTGATGACAGCAGGATTGGAACCATTCTCCTTTCTGTAAACAGTTCTGGACATTGAACAACAAGATTAATGTATTTGGTTCGACGTGACCAAATTTTAGCCTCCTTGATGCGATGAGGAAGAGCCTGCGGGGTTTCATATAGTGGAGGTTAATAACAGTAAAACTGGTTAATTCATTCAAATATTTCACTGAGTCACACCATAACCCATTTGCAGTGTGATACTTTCACTGACAATAAGTTCCAGTATCACGGGCAAACAGCATCAATGGGTTGGCACATCTGGCCATTGGAAACCAGGCAAGTGACCGTTCCCATCTATTATCTATTTCCAATAGATTAAATCTATTCTAATATGTGAAATGATCCGGATTTTGAGGCATTGCATGTCATGCTGTTTGAGTTTTTTTTGCAATAGTTAAAAATGCCATTATTCACCTCTGAATAGGAAAAGTCACTTTAAAGTATTGTTCACGCGATAATTATAGAAGTGACTTGATGCATGACTTCCTGTGTGTTTCCTGTGGGTGGAATGCTCACCTAAGGCATCGAATCCTCCATGGAAGTATTTTTCTTCCTTTTTTCATATTATTGTATTAAATCATTCTCTAAGTGGAAGGTAATGTTAGCATAGTAATGGCCTCAGATTTTGTAAGGCAGTGTGTACTTTGAAAATAGAAAACGTGAGAGAATCCAGGTGGAACGTACAGTTATAGTTTTATTTTCATGAGCTGATCGTGATCAAGTTACTTACCACTATATCTTTATAGTCACAATAATCATTCTTAGTGTTTAGTTCAAATTCAACTTCATCCGAACAATATGTGTACGTCTTAATGTCAAATAAGTAAACTTTGATTTTGACAGACTTTTCTATTCCATCCAATTGAATGGCGATAGTCTCTGGCACCCCAACATGAATAATGTTGGGGGCAGTGATTAAGTATCTAGGGACAAACAAGCAAGAAAACATACTTTAATCAATGTGCCATGTGGAAGTCTTCACTGAAGGATACACACATCACAGAGAACAATGGTGATGGATTTCCTTCAGCGTTGTCCCCTTGACACATCTTTACGGATGTTTCCGTGAGCTTACAATAGCACATGCAACAAAAGAGAACTATGGGAACTTAAACATGTATTTGCCAAGGCTTTCACTCTAAGTTCAATCTTTGCAAAACTCTGAGCTGGGACGAGCTGGTTATCTGATACCTTGTACAAATTGACACATAAATCTGCTAATAACACCACCAACTGTAATTTAACAATTTGGCATAAATGACTCGTTGAGCTTAACTACATTAAATGTCTCTTTAAGGGAACACTTTGTCTCCATCAGTTCAGATCGAAATGTGATGATCCCAGCTTACAACTGGCCTGGTTCAATAAAGCAATTGTGACACTGCGCTTTAGGAAGACTGGCAAGTTTAAATATGTCACTGACTTTTGCAACCTGGCCACTTTTATAATGTTGTTGCCACTAAGAATGTCATCTTCTTGGATGCACAGCAGAAGGCAATTGAGCTAAATGTCGTTCTTGAATGCTATTGCAGGTCAAGAGCTGCCAAATCAGAAAATAAAATGAAAATAAGGCCTTGCGTGCAGCTGATGTTTCTAAAATGTTTGGAATTCATAACTAGCCAACTTTTAAAAAATGGTTGCTTCATTGGAGAAAATTTTAGTAGGAGGTGAAGGGTTAGTGGTAACATGCCTGGATTGATAAAGTTACTGACTGTAATCCAGAACCCAGGCAAATGGTTTGGGGACCTGGATTTGACTTCCACCATGGAAGATGGTGAAACTTTATTTTTATTCCAATTGAAAATTGAATTTGATTGAAACCTGGAATTAAAAGATAGTCGTTGGTGACCATGTTGTTTGTTGTAAAAGAAAACACGTCTTCATCATTGACATCCTTCAGAGAAGAAAATTTGCCATCTTTCCCTGTTTTGGCCAATATGTGACTCCAAAACCACAGCAATGTGATTGACTCTGACTTGAGTTTCAGGCAATTGGGGTTGGACAATAAATGCTGGCTTAGGCAGTGGCCTGCACCTCCCATGAATGGAAAAAAAAATTACACAGATCAAGATTTCCCCAGGCAGGAATGAAATAAGTCTCACACATTTTAGTGCTGTTAACTGAGGGAGGATGTTAGCTGGACAGAACACCCTGCAGGACTCAACGGGTATTCTCTGAATGCTGTCTCAAGATCATGTGTGTCCGAGTCCCTGTGGATACCATGCCACCATGTAAACTCTCACTTGAAACACTCTTGTAATTAGTTTGCATGGGGGCCAAGCAAGAAAGTGGACCTGAAACCATAAGCTGATCGACCATGAACTTAAAGAGCGGTGCAACTAGCGAGAAGGACCAAATAGTCTCCTCCTGCTGTGACGTTCCCATAGTCTTAAAACATATATTAGGACTTGTGTTATTGAGGAGAATGCACGGGCACTCTTATAACCTCCCAAGAGAGGGGAACAAATCATATTTATCTTATTTGTTATGTTGGTTGTTTAGAAGCAGCTCTAAAGAATCCATAAAATACTTACAATGGTGAAAGGACTGTTGGAGGTATAAGCACAGAACAGCACAGGAGGAACAACAATTGATCCATTGTTGTAAACAGACAATCTCGGCAGGTCGGAGAAATCTAGGTAAATGATCTTTCTCTGTCAAGCTGACTGTGTTGCGTGCAATCTTCCACAACCTTTTATACATATATTTCAACAATAATATTGACTTAACGTTACTTATTTATCTAGCTGTCAAATGGAACCACAGTGAGTGAGCAAAAGGAATCCTATTTATTTCATGTTATTTTTCAGCTCTTCTTTCATCTTCACACTCTGTGATTTCCTTTGGTCTTGCACCTTAGCTATAGACAACAACCGAGAGATTCAACCTCATCAGAATTTGAAAATTGTCAGCAAGAGAGCTGGGAGTAAGACGAGGTGAAACTTCTTTGCTCAGAGTGTTGTGAGGATTTGGAATGCATTGCCTGGGAGAGTGTTGGAGGTGGATTCCGTCAGAGGTTCCAAAAGAGAGTTGGGTACATATTTGAAAGTGATAAATTGAGACAGCTATGGAGATGGGGACTGGCTACTAGCTCTTTCAGGACCCAGTGCAAATATGATGGGTCGACTGGTCTCCTGCTGCACTATGATTCTATCATTTCACAACAGTTCACAATATTTGCAAGCTCAATCCCATAAATTCCATTTTTATGTTAATAAATCTGTACCTCCCAATAGGCCTAAGTAGCTATTTATTACTTAAACAATAGCAGATTAACTTGATTGATTGTTTGTTTGTTTGTTTGTCTTGGTATTGGATACCAACTGGTTTTTCATGACTATTAACAATATTAAAAATCTGCAAATGCTGGAAATCAGACACAAGAAAAGAAATTGCTGAAAATGCTTAGCAGGTCTGGCAGCATCTGTGGAGAGAAAGCAGAGTTAACTTTTCAGGTCGAGTGACCCTTCTTCAGAACTGATTGTGGCAAGGAAAAGGTTGATATGTATATGCTGAAGGTGAGGTGGGCAGAGAAGCAAGCGAAAGGTGGAGATGGAGCCCAGACAGAGAGAATAAGAGAACAGCGAGGGGTCACTGGGCCTGAAACGCTAACTCTGATTTTCTCTCCACAGAGCCTGACAGACCTGCTGAGTTTTTCCAGCAATTTCTGTTTGTGTTTCTGATTTCCAGCATTCGCAGTTCACTGGGCCTGAAGCGCTAACTCAGATTTTCTCTCCACAGATGCTGACAGACCTGCTGAGTTTTTCCAGCAATTTCTGCTTGTGTTTTTGATTTCCAGCATCCACAGTTCTTTTCGTTATTTTTTGGAAGAGAACAACAGTTGGACAGACAAAAGAGTAGGTAAAGGTCAGCGTGGGAGAATGAATAGCTGCTAATGGGGAACATTGGTAGCTGACAAGGAGCTGTTTATGATAGCAGCCCATGTGATGACAAGGCCTGGTTAGGGCAAGGGCACTGGAGAAGGCCCTAAAACTATTGAACACGATATTGAGTCCTGAATCCCCAAATGGAAAATGAGATGCTGTTGTTCCAACTTGCGCTGAGCTTGCTGCAGTGGTATCCTTTCTCTCCACAGATGCTGCCAGACCTACTGAGATTCTCCAATATTCTCTGTTTTTGTTTTATTTGACTGTTCTTTGCCATTTATAATTCATCTGTCATGGATTTATAGGATAGTTATATCATGGAAGACGACACTCTGCTCGGTAGTACCTATGCTAGTCCTCTGAAAGAGAAAAACATCTATCAAAATCCCTTCCTTCTGCCACTGCCTCAGAAAATTGTTCAGGTCTACATGGATTTCCTGTTAAAAGTTACTGAGTGAACCTGAGCCATACTCTCAGACTGCACATTCCAAATCCTATAACTCAAACTGCATTAAAAAGAAATCCATGTCACTTCTGATCCTGTTTGCAATCTACCTTATTTCAGTTCCTTTTACTTCTCCAAACTACTGCCTATGGGAACAAAAATTGACCCCCCACAACTCTCTAACGGTTTAGAACACTTTATCACCTCTCAGTGTTTCTTCTTCTTTGAAATGAACTACTACCCATGCAACAAGCTCTCTTCTCTCTGAAGTATTTTGGTAAATGCACTTTCTCTACACCTTTCACATTCTCCCTCACTGTAATGGCCAGAATTAGAAGTTTTGTTAAGATCAGGCTAACATTTTGTAATTGAGTTTCAGCAAAGCCTTTTATTTGGGAATTTATTCATCTGTTTATAAATCACAAGATCCTTTTAAACAGATTCTCAACCTGCCATGCCACTTTCGAACATTGTGCACAAAGACCCCAAGCTTTCTCTCTTCTTGTTCCCCTTTAGAATTTACCTCGTAATTTTCTGCTAGACTTTCTTAGAAATATAGAATCCTTACAGTGCGGAAACAGGCCATTCGGCCCATCAAATCCACAATGACCCTCCTAAGAGCCTTCCACCCAGACTCATTCTCCTATCCTCTACCCCTAACCGGACATTTCCTACAGCCAACCCACCTAAACTGCACATCCCTGGACTGTGGGGGGAAACCTGAGCACCTGGAGGAAACCACACAGACACAAGGAGAATGTACAGACTCCACACAGACAATTACCCAAGGGTTGAATCAATCCCAGGTCCCTGGTGCTGTGGGGCAGCAGTGCTAACCACTGAGCCACCATGCCACCCACCATGCTGCGTTTCCTCCACATATGTAACATTTCACACATTTCTTCAATTCCACCTGTCTGCCCTTGGCCTTTTGAAGTCATCCTCCTCATAGTTCACAATATTTACAGGTTTGCGGCATCTGCAATTTCAAAAAATAAATTTTCGTATCTCTAAATGTAGGTGACTAGTAAAGATGAAGACAAGTAATGGTCCTGGTACAGACCTCTGGGGAAATTCCATTCTAACCTTCTGCAACTTCCAATAATGACTACTCTTCATTACGCTCTGTTTCCTATAATTCAATGACCTTTGTATTCACAGTTTCAATGTCCATTTTATTTCCCAGTCTTTGAATTTCTTGCCAAGCCTATTTGCTGACGCACAATCATTGTGTTTGCTCCTTTATCTGACCATTTTTGATTGACCAGGCTACATTAAATTACCTAAATTAACGACAGTCGAACGAGATCCAAAGTTCACAAATGTGAAACTAACTTCAACGGACTTTGTAACCCGCTGAAGTTGGAAAATGTGCTTGATAATTTCTTAACATTTCTCCTGGCTTTATGCTGCTGAAACTAATCCATCTGTTCCAAATGTTTCATTCGCTCATGAGCTTCAGCCTTCACTATTGTTGTTGGGTGCCTGAAACTCTGGAGAAACTCATAATGTCTGCTGTACCTGTGATGAGAGAAACAGAGTGAATGTTTCAACATCAATTTGACACTTCTTCGGAACTGAAAGAGGGCTGGAATTTTTTTAGTGCTGTTGACAGAGGGAGAGCAGGAGCATATGGAACAGATGGGTGTAAGCCTCCAGAGTAAACGACAAAAGGAAGGTCTAATGGTAGGACAGGAATGATATTGATGTGCGATAGATGTTAATGCAAGGTGAGAAATCATGGAAAATTGTTCAGTTCAGCCAAGTGAAACAATGCAAACCAAAACTGAGTGGGGAAGCGACAGTGGAATGATCATCAAAACAGAGGAAAGTGCTTTTGTTGTGAAGTTATTGACCTCAGTATTAAGTCCTGGAGGCTGTAATGAACCTAGGCAGGAAATAAGCTTCTTCAAATTGGATTTATCTGGAGCTCTGCAACAGGCCAGCTTTATATTTAGAAACACAGAAAATAGAAGTATGCAATTTGGTCCTTCTAGTACACCATTCAATATGATTGTGGCTAATCACTCAACTCAGTCATCTGCTCCCACTTTTTCCCCACATCTTATCCCTTTAGTGCAAAGAATTATACCTAAATCCTTCCTGAAAACATTTTGACCTCAACCACTTCCTGTAGCAGAGAATTGCATGGACTCACCAGTCTCTGGGTGAAGATATGTCTCCTCATCTCAGTCCTAAATGGCCTACCTCATATCTTTAGACTGTGACCTTTGTTCGTGGACTCCTCAGTCATCCAGAACATCCTTCATGTAGTTACCTTGACTGAAGTGCTGTTAGAGTTTTACAATCTATGAAATCCCCCCTCATTTTTTTCTAAACACCTGTGAAAATAGAGATCCAGTCTCTCTTCCTACATTAGTCCTTAGCCAGTACATCCATCGTCAGATAAGGAGACCAAATCTGCACATATTATTCCAGGCGTAGTCTTGCCAAGGCCCTGCAAAATTGCAGCCTGGCATCCCTGCACCCGTACTTGAAACCTCTCACTATGAAGGCTAACGTACCACTTGCTTTCTTTACCACCTGCTGCACCTGCATGCTTACTTTCAGCGACTGGTGTACAAGAACATTCAGGTCTCATCAGACCATTCCTTCCCCAATCTATAACCATTCAGATAATAATCTGTCTTCCTGTTTTTGCTACCAAAGTGGGTAACCTCACTTTTATCTACTTTATGCATCATCTGCCATACATTTTTCCACTCACTCAACTTATCCAAATCACACCTCAACCTCCTCACAGCTCATTCTCCCATCCAGCTTTGTGTCATCTACAGAACTGGAGATATTACATTTAGCCCTCTCATCTAAATCATTAATATATATTGTGATTATCTAGGGTGCTAACACTAAATGCTATGGTACCCTACCAGTCACTGCCTGCCACTCAGAGAAGATCTGCAGGGGTTCTAAAGAACGTTCATTGGACTGCTAAGATTTTCCATAATTAGGTTTTGACCTGGAAAAGACCTGTCTATTCCTACTCTTTTCTTCCTGTCTGCCAACTAGTGCTCTCTCCATATCAGTACACTCCATTCTTGGATTTTAATTTTACTTGCTAATCTCTGATGTGAGCTCCAATCAAAAACCTTCTAACAGTCTTATTTTTCCACATTACACTTCATCAGTCATACATATGTCCACTATTCCCATTGCTGCTGGCCTTTTAAGTGCAACATTGTCAACCAGAAGGCTATTTTGTTTAACAGGTAGTGATATCAACGACACATTTTCATCATTTTTATT